ATGATAATAGCACCAACAATAATAATAATTATGATGACTAAGATGGCAGCAATGACAGAGACAAAAATTATAATGAAAATGGTAGCGAAAGTAGTAGCGAAGATAGCAAACATTGCAAAAATAGCGAAGATGACAAAGATAGTGAAAATAGCAAAGACAGCAACAATGGCGAAGATAGCAAAAATGGCAAAGATAGTGAAAAAAATCAATGCGATAAAGATAGCGATAAAAATGACAAGCATGATAACAAAGCGATAATGAAAATATAATCAAAGGTACCAATGAAAGCACCAATATAGGCACCAATGAAGGCACCAATGAAGATACTAATGAAAGTACAAGCAAAAACACATAATTATATTAGTAATGATTGCTACTAAAGATACTAATGGAAAACTAATAATATTGATAAAAGTTACTAGTCTTTATAAGGCTAGAAATGCAAAAGTTGGCTAAAATACTTCACAGTGCTGAAAAAGCTTTAAATTGAAATTCATTCTAGAAAGATTAAAATAATGAATTAATAAATAGTAAAAATAAAAATATCTATTTTTAGAAAAGTGAATCTTGACAGTAAGTTAACGAAAAATATTTAAATTTCGATTATCTCTTGAACTATAAGCTGATGCAGGCAAATTTGTCTGCAAAAATTTATTTAATAATAGCACATATTTACCCAGTAAAGTCATATATTTAAATGATCTAATCAACTTCTGGATATATAATTTAGAATTTGTCAGATATCAGAATGATTTGCGTATATTCTAGTGAAAACAATTTTGATCAAAAATTAGTAAATTTTTCTGCAAAATGGTTTAAGGAATAATAAAAAAAAAATATTTAAAAAATATTTTATAATACTTATCCTTTCAACCAATTCTTAAACAATAAAATGATCAACTTAATACATTTCACTTTTTAACTCCTTAATTCTTAAATAAAAACAATGACCAACTTGATAAATTATTCATTATCACCTTTTTTTAACTTCTCAATTTTTAAATAATGACAAACTTGATATATTTATTGGAATTATTGGTGTTGGCAATACTTGATAATAGATCTGTCTTTTATTATTTTAACCATATTTATTATTTATATTTATAGTGTTAACAGCTTTCAAATTATTAAAAACAGTTATGAATCATAGAATTAATACTTTTTGATATTTTGAATATAAAAAATATATATTAATTTTATATATACTTAGTGCATTATATAACAATTCAAAAGTGAGGATCATTACAAAGTTATGTATGTAGAACTTTAACAAATGATCTTAGTGCAATACCCAGGTGATTCTAAATATATTGATCTAATAAACCTCTTGCATAATAAATATTAACGTTAAGTAATTTGTCAAGTAAAAAGTTTCACTATTAGTATATCGAAATATGAATAATAATTTACTTCCAAATATCATAGAGCTTTTAATTAGAGCTAACAAGGTCTTAAGTACAATGGCATTAGAAGGTCCACAAATTCTTTAATGTTGTTATAGTCTTTCTCAAGTTTTCGTATACTATCCAACCAGATTACAAAAAATATAAAGTATAATCTACTTTAGTTTTTTTAATATTGCTTAATTGCTGAAATTGCCAAATAGAATCTATATAAATTCTAAGTTGAAAGCCCTTTTCATATAGTCATTGATATCTATTTCTACTTATCTACTCTTGAATTATTTTATTTTTTTTTTTTTTGGTGTTAAGGTGGCCTCTTGGCCGGCTCCTTTTATTCGGTTATAGTTAACTTTTACAA